GGGGAGACCTTAGGGATGGGTGTCTGCCTAACTGAAGGGGACTCCAGTGAAAATTATATAAATATTAAGGCATGAAAATTCAGCAGTCCCTATCACACACTGGTGAAAAAGATAATCAAATAATCTCCTGTTCACCATTGACAAAGTGCCCATTGACAGTAAGCATTTAGGGATCACAAATTTCCACTGCTGTAGAACGATACCAGGCTGACCACTTCTAAAAGTTCTGGGAAAATTAAGGAAAAGAAAAACAAGCTAGGAACTCTAAATTAGCCCTTATCATCCAGAGTTCTGTAACAGAAATATCTCTTAAATCTCCAATGCAGCCACTGAATGTAACGAATTAGCATTACATTTATTGATGCATAAATAGTACCATTCTCTCCTATGTATCCCGAATGGTACCAGGTATGCATCAAATGGTCTCTCGAAACATTCTCTGTGGAGTTAAACAATTAAGTAATTTTCTCATATAACGGTTGAGAAAGGTTGCTCTAAATTTTTGGTTGAAGATATACATTGAAAAGTGAGTACTTTCAATTTGTATGTTAAAACTCTCATTTATCGCAGAGCAGTTCTGTAATCAAAATGCCTCATTATTGTATGTGCTTAGATAGAGGCTGATAATTTACCTGTGGGGGATTTTTTTTTAAAATCGCTGACTGTGATAAAAGGTTGGGAAAGACATCTTTCAAGATGTTTCCTAAAGCAAAGTTCTATAATAATTAAAGTCATTACTTACTGAACACTTACCATGTTCCAGACACTTCTAAGTGCTTTACATGTGAACCTCAGTTGAAGCTCACTATCAGTCCTAAGTGGTAATTAATATTGCTACTATACCTATTTTACAAATGAGGACACTGAGGCGTAGAGGGATTAGTTAAGTTGTTCAAGGTTAGGTAGCTAATAAGTGGCAGATTCAGGATAAGAACTCATCAGGCTGGCTTCAGGGATTGTACTTCCTCTTTTTTTTTTTTTTTGGAGACGGAGTCTCGCTCATTGCCCAGGCTGGAGTGCAGTGGTGTGATCTCGGCTCACTGCAAGCTCTGCCTCCCGGGTTCACGCCATTCTCCTCCCTCAGCCTCCTGAGTAGCTGGGACTACAGGCGTCCACCACCACGCCGGGCTAATTTTTTTGTATTTTTAGTACAGACAGGGTTTCATCGTGTCAGCCAGGATGGTCTCGATCTCCTGACCTGGTGATCTGCCGGTGTCAGCCTCCCAAAGTGCTGAGATTACAGGCGTGAGCCACCGCACCCGGCCAGGACTGTACTTCTTAACCACTAAGAATATTGGTTTCTTAGGTTGTATATGTAATGTAGTTTGCCCTAATATTCAGATATTTTATTCTAATTCTGAAATTTTCAATACCACTGTGATTCTCATATATTACTTTACTTCTCAAGCCTGTTTTCCTCAGTTGAGTTAGTTGCCAATAGTTAAATTAGTCTCTGGATTCATTACCAGTTCTGGCTTCTTAGAATTTAATGAAAATAAAAGTCTATTATTAAAAAGTCAAAAAATAACAGATGCTGGTGAGGTTGCAGAGAAAAGGGAACACTTTTACACTGTTGGCAGGAATGTAAGATAGTTCAACCATTGTGGAAAGCAGTATGACGTTTCCTCTAAGAACTAAAAACAGAGCTACCATTTGAGCCAGCAATCTCATTACTGGGTATATTCCCAGAGGAATATAAATCCTTCTACTATAAAGATACATACACACGAACGTTCATTGCAGCACTATTTACAACAGCACAGACATGAAATTAACCTAAATTTCCATTAATGACAGATGGGGTAAATAAAATGTGGTACATATACACCCTGGAATACTATGCAGCCATAAGGAAGAATGAGCTCGTGTCTTTGTAAGAACATGGATGGAACTGGAGGCCATTATCCTTAGCAAACTAAGGCAGAAGCAGAAAACCAAATACTGCATGTTCTCACCTGTAAGTGGGAGCTAAATGATGAGAACTCATGGACACAAAGGGAACAATAGACACTGGAGCCTCTTTAAGGGTAGAGGTTGGGAGGAAGAAGAGGAACAGGAAAAACAACTATTGAGTACCAGGCTTAGAATCTGGGTGACGAAATAATCTGTACAATAAACCCCTGTGACACGAATTTATTTATATAACAAACCTGCACATGAACCCCTGAACCTAAAATAAAAGTTAAAAAAAAAAAAAGCAAAGGAAAGAAATAGTCTATGTGCATGGTTGAACTCAGGTTGCAAATAGAAGGGAGTTCTTTGGGGTATGAAAAGAAAACTGCGTTTCAACTTTTTTTTCTCATAAGCTATTTGTATTGAAATAGATTACAGATAATGAGTGGGCAAGAACTATGTTATGCATTTTTGTACCTAACTGTGGCCATGCCTTGAAACCCACTGAGTGCCCAATACGCACCTTCTCTATTGTAAATATTTGGTATTAACATGATGATAATAAATAGATGAACTAATCAGTTCATGAAAACTTCCTCTTTGGCCCAAATCACTTAATACTAATGTGAGAAAGGACGTAAAAATAACCTTACATTCTGTGATTTCTGATTCTTCCAAGATATCACAACCACAGCTCTGTCCTGAGAGAGTAAAGAATGAGGGCTATTTATTTTGTGATATTGCAGGTCTGCCCACATCAGTGCCCACCACGAAAACTGTTGCTATGTTATCAAGAATTTAAAGGTAAGAAACCATATCTATGTAGGTAAATTTTTAGACTTTATTCAGAAGATTATTTGTTTGTAGGGGGTTAGGTTAAGTATTATTATATTTTGTAGATATTGATGATAATTATCTAGATAATCCCTGGAGAATTAAACAAAGCAATGTTGAAGATGTCCAGCTTGTGTATTGTGTTAAAATTCAGTTTACACTTGATTTGAAGTGGGAGTGCAAAGTTTAGCCTGAAGACATGTATATTTCATTTGAATTGTTCAAACAGGCTTGGGGTTTGTAGGTTTTGATTATGTTTGAATATTGAGTAAACTCAGTAATATAGTATATTTTTTCCATTCAAATCCTGAGAATATATATTGGCACTGCCAAATGCAGGCATGCTGAATGAGTAATGAAACTAATTTGGTATTTGTATTGGTCAGGATCCATTTAGAAGATGGAAATCATACCAGCAATCTAACAGGAAAATTTATATAAGGAATTATCAGCATGGTTGAACCTGGGAATTAATATAAATGATTGAACATTTTTGGTTCATTATTTACACAGAAACATGAATACATATGCAGGATACTAATTAGTATCTGTTAATTAAGGACATCTTAATACTTTATGAGGATAGCAAATTCAATATCATATAGACATTGCTCTGTTTAACATACTTACCAGTTAATTATTGTCTTCTTAAGGCTTTAGGTAAATTTATCATCTATTTGCATATATATCTTTCTATGTGAAAATGCATGCATAGAAACATGTTAAATTATTTACTGGAAATTTTCACATAAATAGTACACATTAGTAAAATTAGAATTGTCCTTTTTTTCTGTAAAATGAGCAAATTTGTTGTGTTCAGATAACAGATACTCATTTTTTTTTCTAGCAATCTCTTCAGATAACTTTGCTTTTGATGTATTTTAACAAACAACTTGTCTTTGGGAATGTTAAAAGTTCCTCCTAATCTTTGCCCCTGCTGGTGATATTGTGTTTATATCTTGTTTCTTTTGACCATACTCAATTTTGCCTTTTTGAAATTTACGCCCCAAATTAGAAAGAATCGAATGGTTGTGAAGTCTTTTTATGTATAATCAATTTTTCAGGTTTCTTGGAAAGGCCCCCAAGTAACATATCTGTTCCTTTGTAAACATGTTTCAATGATTGTTTACTTTTCAAATTAAAAGAAGCATACTCATATTTAAGCAGAGACTGGCATAACTGTTTACAAAATATTTTGCTTTTTAGAGCCTAGATTTATAAACTCTTGTCAATTAGTGGCATTCTTTTTTTTTTTTTTTTGAGACGGAGTCATTCCTGTCACCCACGCTGGAGTGCAATGATGCAATCTCGGCTCACTGCAACCTCCACCTCCTGGGTTCAAGTGATTCTCCTCCCTCAGCCTCCCCAGTAGCTGGGATTACAGGCTCCTGCCACCAAGCCTGGCTAATTTTTTTTTTTTTTTTGTATTTTTAGTAGAGATGGGATTTCGCCATGTTGGCCAAGCTGGTCTCGAACTCCTGACTTCAGATGATCTACCCGCCTCGGCCTCCCAAAGTGCTGGGATTACAGGTGTGAGCCACTGTGCCCGGTTGGGGCACTCTTCTTATACCTTATGAAATAAATCAATGAACTTGCAGTTAAAGTTCCCATACTATGTCTCTCGTCTTCACCTATCAGTATCCATCACTGTAATATGCTGACTCCAGGACTCCTTCCTCTGCTAAAGAAAAAAAAAAAAAAAACCTCTCAATGATTTAATCTGTAGAAAAATATTTTCTAGGCTTTACATAGGCTTAATGTAGATTTCTTTGAGTAATCTTGATTTAATTTTGTTTTATAATGGTTTGCATTTAAAAACAAAAACTCGAAATTATCAAGCAGGCTATCCAATTACAGATTCAAATTCAATCTTGGAACATGAGACTCTCCTGGAATTTACAATGGTTCATATAACTGAGTTCATTGTCCTCATCTGAGCCTCCCAGGTGAAAAAAAACAAAGATCAACATTTACACAATGTTGGCACGTTGTAGTATGCTCGGTCATTGCTTATTTTGAGGACTACCTTTCACTGAGAATGTTATTAAATACCTTGGGGAGGCTTTACTTTCTACTCAAAAACTTCCTTGTTCCTATCTGCAATCTTTATAGATTTCAATCTTTATAGAGTAGAGATAACAAAGGTAATTCAAAACCAAAACTTGGCAATGCGCTCAGAGACTTTAGAACTTCCAAGGCCTAAGATATTGCCATAAGCCTTGATGACATACATAGATTCTTTCTTAGGGCTTAATACCAGGCCACCCCAGGAATTTAGGATACTTCCCTATGGTAAATGGATACGACTAGATATCACCAGTCTTATCATTAAACAGGAACAAAAATCATTTCTAACATAACTACTCATGACCTGGAACATGGAAATGTAGTCTTCTTAAAGGAACCTCATAAAAAAATCCACCCTTACCCTTCTACGGAAAGGACCTTACCAGGTATGGTAACAACCAGCACAGCAGCAAAATTCCAAGAAGTTGATCCTTGGATTCATGTTTCTTAAAAAGACAGACATCATTTTCTTTTGACCACTATATATCATCTTCTTTTAATTGCTGAGAGTCTGTTGAATTAGGAGACTTTCAGTTGAGGATTCTTAACTGTCTTCTAAAATCAGAAAGCTCTAGGGAGTAGAAAACTGCCATCCAGCATGAACAAACAAAATCAGTTTTGTGATTCTTCTTCATCCTATTCCTTTCTGCTCACTCTTCTTTAACCTTGCCTACTGTTGTACTGTAGCATACCATATTGACCAGAGACCAATTTCTCAACATGCTTCCCCTCCATCTTTTTACTTTGGGCACCTGTGGTCTTCGGTTGCTCAAAGAGAAACAAAATTCTCTTGTGCATTTTCTTCAGACCATTTCTATCACTTTGAATTAACTGATTGTTGGCTCTGTCATCCTCCATCCAACCCTGCTGTTATGGATTTAACAGCTGTCTCTTTAAAACATGCATTCTCAACAGGAGTGGTATCACCCCCATGGGGGCAAAAATCTGTTCTTATGAATTAAAAACGTCTTATCCTTTTTATGTATAATCATGGTTCTACACATGGTATGTGAACAGGTATGCATCTGTATGGTACTAAAATTTCTTGGGTATGGCAATTAGAAACAAAATAGCTAAAAAGGCGCTTTCGAAAATAATATTTTAAAAAATTGACAAACATTACTTAAATATTTCAGAAGGTCAATTATCTTTCAGAGGTCTTGTCTGTACTTAAATTACCCTTACATTATTAACTCCAACCTTTAATCTTGTAAAAACTGGCTCTTAACCCTACTCAATGAAATGCTTCCATTGAGGTCATTATATCCTCATTAGCTAGACATAGCTCATCAGACGCAGGTACTAATTTCAAGGCTATCATTACTATAGTAGTCTTCTGTTCATTCAGAAACACTCCAGCCTGCTTTGCAGAAATTATTTCGCTCTGCTTAGAAAATCTGAGCAACTTAAGGTACCAATGATTGATTCACTTCTGTTCAAATGAAGGCTACTTATATTACCAATGGGGCTGTGCTCTTCTAAGATACTGTTTCTTATGTGAACATCACTTCTGCTCTGAAGACTCAACAAACCATTTAAAATCCATCAGCCAAGTTTGGTATAGTCCTTGATTCCCTTTTAAGGAATCCCCAAGCAAGTGCTTACACTATAGCAAAATGGTTCTTTCTGCACCTCTTAAATACAGTCAAGTAAATAGCCATGACTAAGCTAAAAGAAAAAGCCATCCAGCTCTTTGAAACAGACCCAGCAATATATTGGGATGTTTTAATGGTCTGGGTTTAGTTCTGGGTCCCTGGCTTTGTGGTCTATTCCAAGGACTAAAACAATTGTGCTGGGAGTTGTCTGTGTTGCAATTAGCTGTTTACATCCTATCCAAAATTTTAGTTGCTGTTTGCACAGCCATTGTCACATTACATGATTCAACAACTTACCTCATAACAAAAGCAGCAGGAAGGATTCACTCTAATCCAACTTCAAACAACATTTTTCTGGAAAATCTCCTGATTCACAGAATTTCAGCCATGCATTTTATTGATTGAAATTTCCCTCCTTCATCCCTTCTAGTTTTTGTGGGTGAAATCATAGAATTATTGAATCCTAATGTTGGAAAACACCTTCAAGGCTATCTAGTACCAACACCCCAATTAATATCAGAAACTTCTCCACTGATACTTTGTGAAGTCTGGTATAATAAGAAATAATTTTAAAGGTTATATGTCATTTGAGTTAAAAATTAGCGTGAGTTCTGCTTCTCTACACCTCCCTTGCACCTGCGCCCTGTGTAATGTGACTTCACACCTCTTCTCATCAGGACGAGAAGTCTATTTCTCCCACCCCTTGAATCTGAGCTGGCCTTTTGACTTGATTTGTCTAATAGGATGTGGGGGGTGATAGTGTTTAGTTGCAAGTGAAGGCCCCTCCACCTCTTTGAACTCTGCCCAGCCACCATGTGAACAGCCTGGGCTAACCTGATGGAGAATTAGAAACACATGGATCTAGCAACCAAGTGGACAGTGAACTAACTGTTCCAGATGTAACTGACGTTATCCTAGACCAGCCAGCCCTCAGCTGGCCAGTCAGCTGCCCTTAGATGCATGAGTGAGCCCAGAACAAATCAGACGAGCAAAGACCAGATCAGTAGAAAGTTTCAACTAACCTGTAATCTCCAGAGCAAAACTAAAGCCTTTTGTTTTAAGCCACTAAACTTTGGAGTAATTTGTCACATAGAAAATCCTAACTGACATAGGCAGCAAACTGCAATTGTAATTTTATATATTTATTCTATTAGAACCCTATTTTAGCATTCTATAATTCTGTTAATTATATTTGCAATGATTTCGAGTAATTCGTTTGCTCTGATTTGATTGGTTAATTTTTTTTTTCTTAGAAAGTATTCCTTTGGGTTGTTTTTGTCTGTGTTTAGCTGATAACTGCAGTAAATCCTAATTTAGGAAAGAATATAGAGAAACCAGAAGCAACTCAATTATGTGCTAAGCAAGTGCTAAGTAGTGTGAAAATTTTCAACTAAATGTGAAAAAAAAAAAAAAAGCCCCAAAGACCTACATTTTTCTTAGCATAACAACGAAATTGAGACAGAAAATTGAAAATATATGTAACACAGGCCAGACTTGGTGGCTCATGCCTGTAATCCCAACACTTTGAGAGGTAGAGGCAGGTGGATCACCTGAGGTCAGAAGTTCGAGACCAGCCTGGCCAACATGGTGAAATCCCATCTTTACTAGAAATACAAAAAAGTTACCCAGGCATGGTGATGCACGCCTGTAATCCAAGCAACTTGGGAGGCTGAGGTAGGAGAACTGCTTGAAACCAGGAGGTACAGATTGCAGTGAGCCAAGATGGTGCCACTGCACTCCATCCTTGGTGACACAGAGAGACTCCATTTCAAAAAAGAAAAAAGAAAATATACGTAATACTAAATGTATGACATAGATTGAAATTGCAGTGAGATTTCATAGAAAATAGTATTTACTGCAGGGCAACCTCATAGAAGACAAACATAATTTGAGTCTTAAAAATATTCATAGTTTTCAACAGGTAAAGTGGAAAATAAGAATGTTTAATCAGAAGAACAACGTGGACAAAGGCATTCTCACTCCTTATAATGTCTCCTGAAAAATGGTTCTATTAACTGGCTACAATTTCCTAGAGAGTTTAAATTGACTTGGAAAATTTATACTTTTTTAACACCATCATTTATCCAATAGCCACTGAGTGCCTACCATGTGGTAGGCATTTTTTCTGTGTCCTTGGGATACAACAGTGAAGAAGCAGCCAAAAATAATTGTTATTGAAGTGCTTGCATTCTATACAGGAATCCACTCCTCCACTGCCATTTAAGCAAAATCATTTAACCTGTAAGTTAACCAACGATTTAAGTCATCCTGTACTCCTCATTTTAACACCAAAAAAAAATTGAAATAAAGTATAATAATTGGACATTACTGTTTGGGTTTTGAGCCTGAAAATCACTACTGAGGAATAAAAATATCTGAACATAAACCTGTGAGCAAAACAAGTTATCTGGGGTTCAATTACAGTCAAAATTGGAATTATGTCTAGTGATTATGCCTGTTCGGCTATTTTTGCCTGAAAGTGTTTACTTGCGTAGCAGTTACTTGCTTCCTAAAGTAGAATACTGAAAACTTTTCTAGTGCAAAGGACAAATCAAAAGTACCCTCTAGTTTTACAGTGTCCCTGTGTTTATTTTGAAAGGGCCCTGGTAGATTGTGTTAAGATACAGTGTGCAATTGGCTTCCCAGACCTGGGAAATCAGACGTGGGTTCCAGCCCTATTAGCGGGTTACCTCGTAAATGTTGAAAAATTATTCTGTGTGCTTGCTTTATTATTTGAAAAATAGTACTTTTGGAAAAACCACCTTGCTGAGCCCAGGTGATACAGAAAATTGATTGTATAATAATTTATTTGTTCATAAGAAATATTTTCGAGCATCTACTATGTAACAGAACCATTTGTTGGTTCACAATACTAAGAAGGTCCTTGCCCTCCTGAGGCTCACATTCCCATGAAGAGGGCCTAATAATAGTAGTACTAGTAGCCACAATAACAAGATAAGAAAATAAATAAATACATTATTCTGTTTTATTTACCGTGAAGGAAGTAAGATGTTATGAAGGGGAAAAGTTGACAAACTTGTTCTGATTGGTAAATAACTGTTTTTTAATTGTTCTGTTTTTCTCAGTTGGAAGGAAACAAGAGCATCATCAAATGCAAAAACAAAAACAAAACAAAATGAACAAATAAGCCTCTAAGGCAGCAGATGAAGCTCATCATAAACAGTTGCAGAAGTAAACTTGAATTGCCGCCAAGGAGTAGATTAAAGTCTATCTCCACCAGACCAAGGTAAGTTAGTTGCTTCATGACTCTATAGGTGTTTAAAATCCAAAATTACTTTTAGAATTTTTTTTTTATTTGTATTTCTTGAATTTTCCCTTTTCCAAGCTGCTTGATATGGAAGGCAAAAGTTACTTTTCCTTATCCATTTCTGCATTATGAAGGAAAGGATTGATTGGTGTCTGCCTAAACATAAGTGGATTGGAAAGACTAGTTAAACAAACCAACAAAAAAACTAGATGGATGCATTAACAATATTTAAATTTTTAATTCTCCTACCAGAAATGTTTTTCTACTCTGCCTACTTTTTAACCCATGCCGTGTGTATTGAAGAAGTCTGTGGAATGAGTGGGGCAGGGAGGTAAAGCAGAGATAAACAGACTTCAAATTCAAGCATGTAGCATAGAAAATACACAGAAGGAATCTCATTGGCCCTGCCTCGAGATCCTTCTACCATAACGTAAACAGGTTACTCTGCCAAAAGTAACTTCTTAGCCACTATATTAAAATGAAGTCAGAGATGATCTTTTTTTTCCCTTTAATTATTCTGCCTTGGTGATTGTCCAACTCCAGCCATGAGAAATGTGGAACTAGCTTTACAAACAAACATAAAAACAAGTAATTATAACACAGCAAAGAATTAAATCGTATTTTGGAAAAGTGAGAAGAAATAGATCACAAATTATGAGGAGCAAAAAGATTTGGGGTAAATTTCATCAAAGGAATTAAAGTTTGAGTCAAGCCTTCGACAACTGCTAGGATTTTTCTAGGCAAGGAGCGAAGGAGTTCAGTTTTGTTTGGACAATTGTCCGTATGCCTGGAGCAAGGGCTTCACAGAGGCACATGGTGGAAGGCAACATCAGAAACGTAGATGGCAGATCTTTTTTCTTTTTAATTTTAAAATACTTAATTGACAAAAATGGTATATATTTAAGGTGTACGATGTGATGATTTAATATACATATACATTATGTGACAATCAGCACTGTCAACACATCCATCACCAACCATATCATTTGTGTGTGTGTATGTGCATGTGTGAGTGTGAGTGTGATATGTTCTTCAAATCTGCTCTTTTATCAAATTTCAAGTACACAGTGTGTATTAACTATACTCAACACATTGTACATTAGATCTCCAGAATTTATTCATCTTATGAATGAAATTTCATACCTTTTGATTAACATCCCCCCATTTCCCCAACCGTCCAGCCCCTGGTAGCCCCTCGTCTATGCTCTGCTTCTATGAGTTGGACTTTTTAAGATTCCACATGTAAGTGAAATCATATAGTATTTGTGCATCTGGCTCATTTCACTTAGCATAATGCCCCCTAAATTTATTCATGTTGCTGTAAGTGGCAGAATTTTCTTCTTTTTTTTGTAGCTGCAAATTATTTCATTATGTTATATACATACACTGTATATGTGTGTGTGTGTATATATAGGCATATAATGCATACCACCTTTTCTTTGTTCATTCATCTACTGATGGACACCTAGAATGATACCGAATCTTGGCTATTGTGAATAGTGCTGTAATAAACATGGGGTGCAGTTATCTCTATGGGATGTTGATTTAATTTCCCTTGGATATGTACCCAGAAGTGGCACTGCTGGATTGCATGACATTCTATTTGTAATTTTTGAGAAAGCTCCTTATTTTTTTCCATAATGGCCATACCAATTTTTATCTCCTCCAATAGCATATAAGATTTTTCTTTTCTCCACACCCTCACCAACACTTGCTATCTCTTATCTTTTTGATAATAGGTAGACAGTAGATCTTGAATGCCTTACTAAGTACCATATTTTCACCATGCCTTGGAGTTGCAGTTTATGTCATAAACATTGACTCAAATACTCTAAACAAAATTTTCCCCTTAAACCTAATATTTTTTAACCTGCCTAAAATACGGTTAGACATGCTTTCCCCATGGAATTTTGACTTCATAGTTTGAGATTCAGGAATAACCTCAGAATTATAATATCCAATACATAGTAAATTTATTTAATTATCTAATTTTGCAATAGCACATTACAGTGACAGATAACCTAACTTCTCGGGGTTAATTTTTCTGCAAAATTTTCTTACAGATGTGTGCTTTAAGGCTGCTTGATTTCAGACCTAACAACTATAGAAGGAGGAAAAGGTCAATGTTTGGAGTGAATTCTGGACTAACTGGGTGGATATAGCCTTATCATGAATCACTTTAGAAGATTGCTATCAACATCATTCCAAAAAGGTGGGAATGTGGATTTTCCATCATGGGACAATTTTCATCGGATTTCTGCTCTACTGGTGTCATTATGTGTCCTTCCCCCAAAGTATCAAATACTTCCAAACCTTACTTTCATTGTATATGATTTTGTAACGACACATTTTCCTAAAATGTTTTCCTAAGTAATCTATTTTCTAAGTAAATGGCACAAAATGAATTTTGCTTTGATTTTTGGTCTCTTCAAAAGTTATTGTTAACAAGTATTATAAATCCTCATGCATGGGATACAGGAATTGAGCCATTATTTTAGCCATGTCATATGCACTTGAATTTATAGAATTCAATTTGGTGATGAATTATTAGGGTAAGCAGATGTCTATTTTGCAGAATTTTATTATGATGAGTCTTATCAGGTACATTTGCCATTTTCATTTATTTGATTTCCATGGATAGTTGGGCATATTTTTAAGAAAGGTGGACATTCAAGAGATCTATGATAGTAAATACTTCTGTTTTTCAGCTTTAACTTCAAAGTTAAAAGGTATAACATTTTCCGTCACAATAACTAAAGATTTAATTACATATTTTCTATAGCTTGTGTGTGTGAGCCGTGGGTAGAAGAAGTTATGGAAGAAAATGATGTAATAATAAAATTAAAATGGGAAGAACTATGGAATGGCAGGAAGAGTTAAAGTCCCTTCCCAAACTCCTTTAATTATGGGTTTCTGGGGTCAGAGTTAAAAGAATGGAATTTAATCAATGTTCTGCCACAATTCAATTGTGTAGTGGTTTAAAACATGATAGACTATGATAGATGCACAGGGATTTAGCAATTATTTACTAAAACTTTCCTGGAGATGAGCCATGACATGGAAGGGATCAATGAAGGCCACACATACACATCAGGATTAGAATCTAATTCTCTTCAGCTGGTCTGGGGGTTCTTCCCATTGAAGGGGAGCCAGAGATCACCTCCAAAGCCCCTTTTTAGCCCATAGCGGGCTCTTCTATTGGATCTAGAAACTAAATTGGCACCAGGCAGATGAACAAAATAAAAGTATACACATTTTATTCATTTTGCATGTACATGACGAACTCACAAGAGAGTGAAATCCAAAGAAGTGGCCTAAGCAAGATGCTTTTACGCTTTTTAGACCAAGAATGATAAATGTGAAAAGAAATGACAGTACGAAGGAAAGGTGGCTGGGGGCAATCCATTTTCTAGAGGAGTCACTAGGAGATATATTAGTTGTGGGGGGCTGTCAAATAGGCGAAAGATAAGTGTTTATTAAATATCTTTATTCAGGTTCATTGCAGCATCCAATTCCAGGTCTCTGTCGGTAAGAGCTATTTTCTTGCCCTTGTATGACTAGGGTAGCCCTCCCAGAGGAATCTTTATGGCTTGCCACATGTGGGAAGTGACAGGTCAGCTCTCCCTTTCTGAATCTGCAATTTCTCCACTGTTTTAAACACAAAACAATCAATATACCAATTTGGCATATTCAGGGACATCCTTCACTCCTTCACCATAGACTATCACTGTTTCTTTAAAATGATACATGTTTTCTCTATGTCTCTGTTTCCTCATTTTGTAGAATGAATATGATAAACATGAACTTCCGTACGATTCATACCAGTTGAACAATTCTCAGAATTTGTTCACTTTGTGCCACTGAATGTACATTAGGTAGTACCAATAGTATGTGCAGTTAAAAGTACAGAGATCAGTAATGGGAAGCAAATAAATTGAGATGGGATTCATAGCCAAGAGTCAGGAGACACTTTATTTCTCACAAGTGTTAGTTCTTTTTGGCAGATCCATTTCATTTCTGTACTACAGTACTCAGAATACACAGATGTCTGTGAGATGTAAACACAGCTGTTTTCTTTAGCATCACCTGTAATTTTTAAGCTGGAGAGGAAAAGAAAAGTCTGTCTTAGTGCTTAGGATTTTCTCATAGCTATTCTCACTTAGCCATTATTTCCTAGGACTCTCAGGAAGCAGTAGAAAGATAAACTGTTAAACAAAGAAGGTACACAGTCACAAATATAATGGTATGAACTTTTAAGATAGAGCTAATGGAAACCTCTGGAACTTTCAAGTTCATCTTCATTGGAAAACAATCCCTCTAACAAGAAACTTCACAATTACGTTTAAAAAAGAAACAAACTTTGGAAACTGGGGATTCAATCTTTTTATTGTTCTACTAACAGGTCACGTTGAAATTCTTTACTGAGCCACAGTTTTCTGAAATATTTAGGCTATAGCCACCTAATATTTAGGGGAGGCATGGAGATGAAATATGAAAATGTGACAATACTTCAAAAATATGTGCTCAGTAAATATGATAAATATCTGGAGGCATGATGGATGTTCAGGGTCTATAGAATTTGAAAGCAGTGAAAAAAAGTGGCTCAGTTCATGGTTATGCAGTCAGAGGTTCCTTTCATTCTCATTCCAAACAGAGGTGAATGGGTGTCTGCAGCAATATAATATTAGTTTCAAACAAGCATGAGTCCCGTGGCTCACTGCAGGTAGGAGGTGGCGATATAATTCAAACAATGGGACAGGCTGTATTAGAGTTGAGTTGCAAAGATGATGTGAGTTCAAGACTCTCCTATTTGTCTCAAACGGATGAGGTGGTGGCAGCGTGCAGGGCTCCATTACAGCTTTTCTTTAGTCATTTGTTCCATTTTTTTCATGTAGCCTCTTGGGGCTGTTTGTCTGATTTCTTCCTACTGCCCAACCTTCTAGTCAAACCAAAAACTTCTTTCAACTGGGCTATTGCAAAAGTTCCCTATATTTTATCTCTTCCACCCTTTTAATTCTTTCTTAAATTATCAGGGTAATTTTTTAAATGCCAATCTGGCCAAGTCAACAATTCCTTTTCCAAAAGGCCCTCAGTGGTTTTCCAGGCCTTCCTTGATGAGACATCTGGCTAGCTCTTGTACATTGTCTCCTGTAGCCCCCAAAACAATCCTGTAAAAAATATTATGATTCTTTCCTTTCTTTCCTTGCCTTGCAGATAAAAACAGAGTCTAATTGGTGCTATAACATGATACCTTCCAGGTTTACCTGATCACTCCTATCTTAAAGCATCATCTTTCTCCTCAGAATAAAATAAGAGGTTCAACTGAATTTACTCCATCCACTTTATACATATTTATGTTCACATTTCAATGTTTTCAAATTTTATTTTTTACTGGGAACCACAATAAAATAAACATTTTGCATTATGACCCCGTTAAGAAACACATACAAACTATATTTAATAAATGCTAATTCACCAATACCGTGTATGAAAAGATAAGAATAAATTAATAGCAAACATACTTTCATTTATTTGTAAATAAAATATAGAAAATAACCCCCAGAAAGCAATATAAAAATCAAGAGAGTTGTTTTTAAATATAATGTGTATGTTTGGCTTTTCATAAATTTATTCTAGTCCAGAACATTTATTTTTAAATCATCTTTATTTTAAAATCTTACACTTTATGAAATTTTTTAGAATGTGACTCATATAATGTTAAAACTTTGCCGATTGAGCCAACATTTCTTTCAGTGTTTAATACTTTCTATACTTAATAAATTATTAGTATACTTTAGACAAACTTAAACATTCTCCTATGTTTTAAATTTTAACCTCTTGTTTTTCGAGTGACGGGAAATACATTTTAAATGTAAATTCTGCCAATTTGACTAAATCATTTACAGACTTATTAAATATAACTCTTTATATTATCTCTTTTGAAAAACTCATTAAAAGTTCTTTACAGAAATGTGGTTGAAGGCCTACACATTTTTGCTTGTGAGGGAAGAAAATACCTTACCCTTTTCTGCAAAGTTATCCATGAATTCTGCTAAAATGTGAAATTTGCCTGTATTGCATGAACCCTCATAGTACGTTGATGGTAATTTTGACCATCTTACACAAGATAAAAGCACGTAACACTGAAGAGAAAACAGCAAATAGCTCTTTTGTGGCTTATACCTGTTTTCATCACATCCTCTCATGTACCTCTGCCTTTCACACCAGTGGTTCAAATATACTGCAATTTTTGTCACAGCGTGGGTATCTGGGTTCCACACTCTGATATTTACTATTTTTTCTTTTCTTTTAATGCCAGCTGTGACCCACTAAATTGGTCTCATTACCTGCTAATGTATATTTTCCCACAGTTTGAAAAATACAATGTAAGACATTCTGTGTGCCAGTGGTCTCCAGATAATCACTATTTTTAATTTAATGTGCCCCTTCCAAATAAGTTAGTCTATTTCCTGTCCCCTAAAACTCCATTGCAGATAAATATATATTTTCTTATAAAGAGCTGATATATTTTCATATATAGAACTTTCCAACCAACTTTGAAATCATCCATCTTCTTAGCATATTCTGAACCTCTGGAGAGTTTTTAAACCAAATTAAAACTACAAAACTCAATCTTCAGTGTTACTGTTTTGCAGTGTAAACCTGATATAAATTGAATATTAAAATTAGCTCATCTAATACTCACTCATTAGAACTTAGAAAAGAGCCATTTATCCACTTCCAGTTCTTCTCTGATAATGAAAAATTTAATCCAATCCAAAATGAAATTGCTTTGTCATGTATCAAGTTCTGTGTGCGTGTCTATAAATGAAACAGAAGGATATTAAATCTGCTTATCTATTCTTGGTTTGATCCCCTAAAACCTAGTTCAAGCATCACCTCATCTCTGAAGTCTTTCCGAACTCCTTGTCAGCATTAATTATTCCTTCTTTGTGATATTTCTCTGTTTTTATTTCTATTATTGTATTCATCACCTTATATTTAATTATTTTTTTACATATCCACTTAGTCATTCAAATTGTGAAGTCAAAGTCATCACTTCCATTACATAAAACCCCAGGCTAATGCACAGACATATTGGTATGGTTTAAAGAAAGTGTTAAGTTTTATTAAGGTATTTTATTTAATGATTTACCAATTCATCCTTATCTTGAATAAGCAGCAAACTGGATTCTTTGGTGGAACAATCAGCTAGACTGTTATTCCAAGGGTTGACAGTGTGAGAAAATAGCAAGCATTTCTCTTGGACTTGCTTCCAATATATTGGGCAGTTTAAGAGATCTGGTCTTTCTAAAGTGAAAAACGGAAATAAGAAATAAATGTTATATTTCTAACCTATCCCTGACACACCACAACCAATCACGCACACATATCATTATAAATG